AACCGGTGGAGTTTGTCGTGAAATAACCGTTTGTCGTGAAAGAACCGGTGGAGTTTGTCGTGAAATAACCGTTTGTCGTGAAATAACCGGTGGAGTTTGTCGTGAAATAACCGTTTGTCGTGAAACAACCGGTGGAGTTTGTCGTGAAATAACCGGTGGAGTTTGTCGTGAAACATCCGGTGAAAAGGATGATACGTCAGTAGATCGTGTCTTAAGTTCCGAGTAAATATCGTACTGAATCATATAAGAAAAGTGTCGTGTTCCAGTTATGATGAAGAGTGGGGCTAAAATCTGTTCCTTTTTTCAGTCGTTACAAGTTTTCGATCCAATAATTTTGTTTTCACAACATGTATTTTTATGAACATTAAACAACTAGAAAACAGGTCTACGTGTATAGGGGTCGAGATTTCAATCACAACTATAGATAAAATAAAGAATAATACAGCAAGCCAATAATACAGGTAATTCATCACACACTGAATGTGTTCCATCAGTTTCGTTGTATTGATGTTGTTCTTTCTTGTGGTTTGAGATCTATCACTATTGTTTCTTATATTTTGTAGTATCACTGCTGTTTCTTCTATTTTGTGGTATCACTGCTGTTTCTTATATTTTTGGTATCACTATTGTTTCTTATATTTTGTAGTATCACTGCTGTTTCTTCTATTTTGTGGTATCACTGCTGTTTCTTCTATTTTGTGGTATCACTGCTGTTTCTTCTATTTTGTGGTATCACTGCTGTTTCTTCTATTTTGTGGCATCACTGCTGTCTCTTCTATTTTGTGGTATCACTATTGTTTCTTATATTTTGTAGTATCACTGCTGTTTCTTATATTTTGTGGTATCACTATTGTTTCTTATATTTTGTAGTATCACTGCTGTTTCTTCTATTTTGTGGTATCACTGCTGTTTCTTCTATTTTGTGGTATCACTGCTGTTTCTTCTATTTTGTGGTATCACTATTGTTTCTTATATTTTGTGGTATCACTACTGTTTCTTTGATTGAATTATTAGTACCCCCAATGGAGCTATGATTGAATTATTAGTACCCCCAAGCCTCTGTGATGGTAATTGGAATTGTATGTATGTTAACTTTAGTTCCATTGTTAATATCCACAAGTTAAAAAAAAGCACGAAAACTGGAGAGTTACTTTACACTGAACAGGTTAATTGGAATGTTTTCCACTAAAACTGGATAGTTACTTTACACTGAACAGGTTAATTGGAATGTTTTCCACTAAAACTGGAGAGTTACTTTACACTGAACAGGTTAATTGGAATATTTTCCACTAACACTGGAGAGTTACTTGACACTAAACAGGTTAATTGGAATGTTTTCCACTAAAACTGGAGAGTTACTTTACACTGAACAGGTTAATTGGA